CAGATCAGAGAAGCCAGGATGAAAAGTTCAGAAGATAAACCACTGAACCATATCTGGTGTCAAGTCATTAAATCATGGAGCTATTGTGCAACTCCTTTATGATACAACATTTTTCGCATTAGATCAGCTCTGAGATGGGAGCACAGAGGCAGGAGTCATTTGTTGCAAAACTCATCTCTAAAAGCTTTCAGGTATATTTAGCTCTGATGGACACGCACGCTGTGAAGGCCACCACACGTTAGCAGGCATTATGTCATCTGCCAGCAACACTTTGGCAATCAGAACCTGTGCTTGCAGCATTCACTTGACTATGAGTTATGCTTCAGGGTTTAATCCACTCTTCCAATTAGTTCACTTAAAAATAGAGACTCAAATGTGTTGAGACACATTATTCCTAAAGGTATCAGTGCTGTACAAAGCACAAAAACCTGATGCTTCCTGTCCCAAAGAAAGTGACAACCTAAAGGTAAAAGCCTTAATAATATATTATGGGTTTGCTATTTTCATGATCGTGAAGGGGCATAAATGGTATACTTGGAGACTAAGGGTCTGCTCCTCTCCTCCAGCATTTGTAGCGGTTTAGATCCATTATGTTATTTCCCAGTTATACAGAAAGGTAGAGTTAACCTTGTTCGTCTGAAGTCAGGCAGAAGGCAAGGTAGATGATATGCACCTTATAGAGTAACTGAGGTACAGAGTTCACAAAAGCTTATACTCTTATTTTTTTTAATCTAGTTCATCTAGTCTATAAGGTGCATATTTACTCTGGATTTCCCATTTATAACAGCATAAGACAGACTATACCCCCTCCCCCCCCACTCTTGGAAGAGCCACCCGCATGATCGGAGACTTGCAAGGCAAGCAGTGCGAGGAAAGGCTGAGGGACTTGGGACTCTTCAGCCTAAAAAAGAGAAGGATGAGAGGGGACTTGGTAGCAGCTTACTGCTACATCAGGGGAATAAGTCAAGGGCTCGGTGAACAACTGTTCACCAAGGCATCCTTGGGGAAAACCAGGAGTAATGGCCACAAATTCCTGGAAGGCCATTTCTGGCTTAACATTAGGAAAAACTTCTTCGCAGTCAGTGTCCAGACTGTGAAATAAATTCCCTCCAGAGGCGGTGCAATCATCTACCCTGAAAATCTTCAAGAGGAGACCGGATGGTCACCTCGTTGGGGTCACCTCACCCCAGTTGTCTTTCCTGCCTAGTGTGGGGGGCTGGACCCGATGATCTTGCGATGTCCCTTCCATCCCCTTACAATCTATGAATGCAGAAGCTGCTCCCCCAAGCTCTCAGTCCAGATCCACAGGGTCCGCCTTTCCTGATAAAAGCGCATCTTGCATTCATTCTTTGGCCGCTCTGACAAGAGTGCCAACCCAGGTGCCAGTCACAACCAGCCCTGGCGGGGAGTTGTGACACAGGTGCTCATTCATCAGGAAATTGACTCAGTCTGTCAAGCACATTTCACACCAAGCAGTCATCAGATGGCAACGATTTGCAGTGAGCAATGGTTTGGGCTGGATGCGAATCGTCAGCAGATGCTGAGGAAGGCTCTGTTTCTCATTACAGTACATCTCATTACAAATGCCTTGAGCCAACTAAGCCTTACTATTTATGGCTCATTTCCCAATGCTTCACGTGTTGGTAGCTTATTACATAACATGTAGAACAGCTTGCAAACAAGAATTCCTTTCTCTGGATAGCCATCTCCAAACTTCAGTGTTGTCAGGCTATGTGCTGTTAAAGACATTTTTATAGCACGCTAAATGGCCTTCAAAGCGCTCAGGAAATTGCAGCCATTTAGATGCAACGTCACCTCCAAACCTCCCAACAAAGGCTCAGAATTTCATATGCAAGGCTGGGAATTCAGAGTAGAATGGAGCGTATAAAGGCTCCGTTTTCTGTCCCCCCTCCGGTCCATATTTCTGGGGCCACAATGAACAATTTTTAGGAACCAGAATGAATATACTTGGGTAGGAAGAGTAGGAGCAAGAGCCATAAATAGGATCATGGCCACAAAAGTGATTGTGATATTGCGATGTTGGTGTGTTAAGGGAGCAAATGGAAATCGAAACTTCATAGGCAAAACGGTACAGGCAAGAACATCGTGGCATAGCCATTTGATAAGCCGACAAAACGTCCTGCAGTGCTGTGGATCAGTCTGAGCCCTTCAGGAAGCAGTCCCCTGTTGGTTATAGCCGTGTTGGTCAAAGGATAACACTCCTGCGGGGATCAAGGCAGTGAAACGGAGGAGAACATTATAATGTGATGGATGGGATGGTGGAGGCACAAGGGGCTTCCGAGGAAGCGAATGATCTATTTATAAACGATGCTCATTATACAAAGAACCCGACAGGCCGACTGTCTAATCCCTCCTACGTTAGTCCCATTACAAAGATACGGGCACATCATAAGTAAAGTCCAAGTTGTTCGTAACAAAAACCTCTGAGATGCGCATCCACATTTATTGAAAGCTATTGTTTACAAACAGGTTTTTTTTTCCTTTTAGCTCTTTGGCTAAAGATACATGAATACTGGGCGCTGAGCTAGGTAATGTAATTATTTGAGCCGCGTTTTATCCAATCGGCATGTAATAAAAAGCATGTCAAGGAATGGATTTAAAATGATAAAGTTTCTACCATTTCATTTTTCTTCGCTTGCTAGGGAGCATTAAAAATAAATGACAAAGATGCAAAATAGTTTTTTTGCCATGCTAACAGGCCTCACCGCACCTTGTGGCAGTAGGTTTGCCAGCATAATTCAACACGGTTAAAGATGCAAGGCATGTGCCTTCAAACAGTCTTATACCCACAGCAGCACTAAAAGTACACAGGCCCAAACGCATCCCCAGGTGTGTGTCTTATTGAAGCCAATAAACATTGCAGAGACTCATTTTGCAGCAAATATGCTGTGGCCCGCCTGCCGACTAGGCTTGGGGAGCTGCATTTGATAGCATGCGCTCATGGTCACGTCACACTCTGCTGTCAGAGCCATTCCACAGTGTTACATGGCGCTTTATGAATGGGGAGGGCATTGGACCTGGTACCATCCCACGTAGATTCAGTACCGCCCCCCATCCTGCCAACTGTCCATCCGCATATCTAGAATCCCATCCTTTGCGATCTCACACAGGGATTAAGGAAGCAAGAAACTGGATGGCAGCTGTAATGAGGTGATAAGTCATAGGCATGCCCTTTATCTCATGAGACAAAGGAACAGTGACTTTAAACTTTGTCCTTTCTTTTCCCCACCTGCGCAGTCTCAAATTATAAGGATGTCTTTTTTCCCAAAGACAACTTCCTCCCGTCCCTGAACTTTTCTCTTGAGGAAGTTTTCGAAGACCTTTGAAGTCACCCATGTTTTTTCCCCAGAAATACTCCCCAGGAAACTGTCTTGTACTTGTTCCTCCTACTGAAAGGCTCAAAAGGCCATTTCAGGATACACAAATACCAGTAACCCAGGTCCAACCTCACTCTGGGCTTTAATCCAAGGGGACGAGCCTTATCAGCTCATTGCATGAGCTGCCACTGCACTTGACGATAGCTCTGTGCAATGTCATTCCTGCATTAGTTAGCCTAAGCAGCAGGGCACCGGCACCTGCATTTGCAAGAGGACATAATTGGGAATCAGATTTTAGTAAGCCACAATGGCTTATGCTTTAAAGCCAGCCAGTCAATCTGTCACATTCTCTTCACAGTGCAATGTGCACTCACCTTCAGCTGGTGTCATGTGTGTATCTTAGCAGGGAGACAGCTCCTCTCAGGTATGCAGAATATGCTGCCTCAAATTGTCCTCTGCTGTTGTACATTTGCTTGGTTACTGCTCTCCTCGGTTCACTTGCCTCCCATTCCATCTATTGAATTCAGTCGGGTGGCTAATGGCTCGGGCACTGACACTTCGTCTTCAGGAGCTGGCGGCATTTTCAATGTGCACTGTGGGCAGAGTGTGGTTAAGTGAGAAATCCTCTTTCAAACCCCTCCCCACCTCAGTCCCAGTGGAATCATTTCAGTGTCGATTGCCCTTTATATGATGCACTGTCATCTTTGCTTTGACAACGCAGTTTATTGGCGTTTTTACAGTGCATAAACACCAGGTATCAGCATTTGGTTTAGCTTTGCTAAAAAACAGCACGATTTCTCCTCTGTGGGGTCACTTCTCCATTACTTTAACTTGTGCTTTGCGAGGAAACAAACACCTTTGTGCTTTCACTGTCTGGAGTTTAGATGTCTCACAGCACACTATGCTTTCCATTTGGCGCAGCTCTTGCTGTTGCATCGATTATTTTGCAAAGCAAGTTTTAAGGACACAAGAATATCTCTTCTACTTCTGCACCATATTCCTTTGTCAAAGGAAGCTCTTTGCTACTAAGGAACAAGAGATGGGGAAAAGCCTGCTTGTAGTTAAGTGAAGTCTATTGTGCAGCTGCACAACTATTGATCCGATTCACAATTAAGCAATACACTGCACCCCTTCCTTGTGTGCGTTTGTGTGCGTGTACACATGGGAACTACTTTTATTCTACAGCCTTGTCATGTTAATTTTGTCCCCTTGGCATGAGATTTGAACCAGCTTATATCAATGCAGGGATGTGCAACTCTACTGTCATTTGCATCAGCCTCAAATTCTCTGCTAGCATAAATACATTGCCTTCAGGAGGAGTGAATGCCAGTAGAGAATTCAGGCTTAAGTGGTTCTATCTTCCAGTCCTTGTAAATGACTACTTATAATGGTGAGCAACTTAGAGAAGACAGAAAATTTAATGCTTAAAAAGAGATTGTCGGCTAGTGACAAGGAAGTCTGCCTTCCTCTTACTATCTCTGCTATCATAGCGCATAATTAGATAGGAGCATTATGAAGATTTTTTACTTTCTCCTGAAATCTCCAATCTGGTAGAGGCAACATGCCAAATCAGATGGACTAGCGATCTGCTTTATGTGCTAATTTTGTCCCTTTCATCCTGGGCTTGGAAAGGAAATACATACGTGACTTCACAATGGTAAAAAAAGACTCAAATATGTTTATTTTGGCACAATTTAAAAATACCCCAGTACATTAAATACCTTCCCGTGTCCTTGAATTAACCCATTAAGTTCAAGACTCAGAGAATGAGTGTTTATTAAAGCCAGCTGTATGAGGGGTAAATTAAAGACCCAATCCCATAATATATATATAAAATAACACCATAAAGAAACACAATAGTGGATTCTGCCTGGGGAAACAACTGGGTCAGATGCATTAATGAAATCAGAGCAGTTTCTGAACTGCCGATAAGAATAAAATTTACTTCATTTGAACAGAACTGTCAGCATTGAGAAGCCTGAACTCTTATCTTCAGAAAAAGGTTCTAGTGCATCAGATACTTGCCCACTTGAGGGTCAGGCAGAGTTCACTGGACAGACGTCTACGTAGGAATGACGTGGGTGACTTGCAGTCCCAACATGGCAATGGAATGGATGACCCAATGATTTATGTAACAAAAGAATAGATAAGCATCTATGCAATTTTAGCGACAAACTCAAAAGAGGAAACGCCCTGCCTTCAAAAAGATGCAATTTCTTTGCACTATATTATTGCATAGTTACTTCTTTTCCTATAAGGTTAATTCGGACTTTGTCACTTCATAGCCGTTACGTTTTCCTACCGCCTTAAACACTCATTTGTACCAGTGATAAATCCTATTGATATGAGGAGGAGAGATGACAGACTAACACTGGCAAAGCTGATGTCACCTGATCGGGGAACAGGCAAACAATACACATAGTATTTAAGAGTGAAATCTCTCCCTCTCATCAGTGCCCCACATTTGCTGTGGCTATTCAGTTTGAGCAGATGGAACAATGTAAAGTAGGTGCGATTTAATCATAGTATGAGTCAAAGTTTTGTATTTCATAATTCAGTTTTTGTGGTCAGCAGGCCCCACTCCATCATGAATTCTCTTTACCCCACTATCTTGCTTCTGGCTGAAAGCTCTTAAATAAGACTGGCAGCTCCTCCTTGGCTCTCCCATGAAATTTTACTGTATGGCTTTGAACAAGTCTCTGACCTTGGGCAGAAAGGAATCTGGATCTAGAGGTTTGTATTGGCTCGAGACAGCTATTCTGGAGATAGTGAGGGTATGTCCTTTTTAACTCAAACCAAATCACTATGTTCCCCAAATCCTGATGGCCATACCACCAGCTGGTGACAAAGCTGACCACAATGTTTTCATTTCATCTCTGGATGTAGAAGGCCAATTCTGGTAGTGAGGTTCAAACAAGTGCAGGTGGTGAATATGGAAACCCAAAGGCTGCCAAAATCTGCTGACTTGTAGGTCTACCACACACTAATGAAGGGCTAGTGTGAAACATGTTATGGTACTGTCCAGTATTCATGACAGCTCTGATTGAAATCAGTATGTTGACGCCCACTGAGATGAATAAGGATCATGCAACCTACCCAGGGAGATCTGCCTTTCCTTCCCCAGCCCCAGCCACCCTCAGACATGCTAGAATTCAGGCAAATTGTAGCAGGAGAGAGGGATGAAGTGAGTCAGAAATAGTAGCTTATCAACTGCAAAACCACAGCAAATGGTCTCAACCAAATTCATCACTGGAAAGTCTCCCATTAGCCTGGATCTGACCCATACCAATCACAGCCTTCGTCAGCACCTAAGACAACAGTACCCTGATAATAACTCTAGGTTTGGACCCCAGTTGAAGAACCATGGTGCTCTGTGCTTAAGAGGTTGAAGATGATGCTTCTGAAGGCATCAGTTTTTGCATTGAAAAACACTGCATTGGAAGGTACATTTCTATTTTCTTGCAGCTTTAAAGTCATGGCACTTGGTCTTAACACCGACACGTGAGTCCTTTACAACAAGCCCTCCTCACTGAGTAACCCCAATACTCTTCATTGGACTGTGGCATCAAGGTCTTCAGCTCCAAAGCCAGAGATGCAGTCACACCACAGGAAAAAGGAACTCACCAGAATAGAGTGTACCAAAAAAGGCAGATTCTTTACAGGATTTTAACATAACATCAATTAGGAGACACATGAAACCATAAAACTGAACAGTGCATTTCAAACCCAACAAAGCAGTTCACAGAACTGGATTTGGCCAAGCATCTTTGCATTAGTCTGTCTTCCTTGGTCTGCATTTGGCACACGCGCTTCTGACACAGTAGCATTTACTCAGTTGCTTGCGATGCTTTCCTGGCACTTCTGTAGACGCAGAAAGTTTCTTTGACATCACTGACACTTAAGAAGTCCTCCGGTAAGTACTGAAGGCTAGACATTGCTGACCCTGGTTTCTGCAGAAGAGATCATGGCAGCAGACGCAGACATCACTAGTGACCGATCTCGTCTGACGTAACGTGGCTTTCGAACTGAAAAGATGGTAGAAAATAAAATTCTATATATGGCACAATATTAGAAAATGAAAACAGACTACTAAATATCCCTTCTTCTGAAGAGAACACTTGCTTGAGTGATCAGCAGCTCCAAATCTTGTAGATCTTTCCACTGTCAGCCTTACAGTGATAGGCCACATATTATTCATATTTCATAGTGCCCCTGCTTATGTTTTCTGCAGATAAGAGTATTGCCAAAGGGCAGGCAGGGCCCAGGTATCAAGAGCTAGAGCTAGCCTTAAACACAGAAATTCCAGATTCAGAACAAGTTAGACTAAACCTGAAGGGAGGCCTAAAAATGAATCTTATCAAAGATTCAAAATCTTAGTTCTGGTACCTCATTTAAAAAAAAAAAAAAAAAAAAAAAAATCAATCTACACATACAAATTAAAAATAGAAAATCAATAATTTAGCTCATTTAGAAAGACATTTCATCCAGTTTTTGCAGTTTGTTCCATCTCCCTTTGAAGTAGATTTGAATTTTGTCATTTTCTTCAAAAGACCAGGCATTTAGGAGTCAGCTAGTTTTTTTTTCCCTTGTACTGCAGTGATTATACTGCTTTGTAGCCAATATAAAAGTTGCTTTGATAACTTGATGCGAGATTGGCAGGTACAGTTTTGAAGCATTTATAAGCTGTATTATGTATAACTGGCTTTTAAAAATAAAAATAAAATGTTGCTGTGTTTTCAGAAATGTGCAGAATGCGAGAGAAAGCTTATTTCTCCCTTTCACAATGAGACCGAACTCCCCTTCTCCCATGTGTGGAATGAAGAGGTAGCCATCGGGGTCTCTGCCATTGAACTTTCTTGTTTGCATGTTAGCAACCTTGAAAACAGTGTTCGTAAGTGTGTTGCTGTCTTTGGTGGCATTTGTAAGCACTTGCTTTTTTCTCCCCTTAGTGCTTTTTTTCTTTTAAATTAAAGCCATATCCCTAGAATGGATGATTTAATTATACACTCAGTGCTACTTGTATGAAGTGCTTGTTAGGGGAGAGAGAGACCAGTTAGATGAGCTCCTCTCCAGGGAACAGGTCGCAGCCTGAACTCTTCATGCTTATTAAAAACTGCCTTGCCAAAAATCCCACAATTTTTGTGTTCCAAACAGCACAAGTGTCATTTGTTTCAGGAAGGGTGACATGCTTCAATCCAGTGAGCCTGAAAATGAGCCATCCAGGAATCCTCAAGATGGTTCCAGCCTAAAAATATGTTCCAGCCTGAATAATTCATTTTTTTGAATACCTCTGAAAAAATACCATCGTGCTAAACTCTCACTCGTCTACTTCTAAGCCGTCTCTATCTTAGCTGTCAAAGCCACCATTAAGGAAAGTGTGCTTTTTACGAAGTAATATGGTATGCCTACGTTAATGCCTCCAGTTATACCCAATTAAGAATGATGATAATTCAGGCATTGCCAGAATTTGTACCCTCAGCTGCCTTCATGGTTTGATTTCTGGAGGGTTTTTTTTCTTTGGGGCTTGCTGTCTCTTCTTGATACACCAAGTATTTCAATATTTTATGGAATATCTTTTAATTACTTTGTACTTCTTACCTACTTTTAATCAAAGGAGGAAAACAAAGAAATGAGGCAAGTCATTTGACATGAAAATATTGGTTGTAAAATAGGGAACAACTGCCTACCTGAAGAAGTAGGTGGAGGTATCATTGATGCCTGCAGAATTAATAAGGAATGAGTCAGATACAAAACACCTTTGTCTTTACAGTTTCTACTATAAAAATTAAAAGTTGATACTGTAAGGTTACAAAAATGCAATATTCAAGAAGTGTCATAATAACTTTCCAAGATACGAAAAGCTAATGTGATTCTTAAAAAAATCCATTTTCTCATTGTGAAATGCTACCTTTAACTTTGTGTTTTTTCCCCTACATGCATAATACAAATACTAATGATTCTCTATTTTCTGATCAATTTTACTTCCAGTTTCTTACATGTTCATACAGGGTAGCAACCCACTTTTCCACATCCAAAAGGGAATGTTTGCTGGGTTGACAGGATTCTTTTAAAGTAATTCAAGGACCTTTCTTATGGGTCTTACATTTTGAAAGGAGTTTCACTTTACAGAATCTAGATTTGGGGCTGACCCAGCCCTGTATTCAACCCTGTAAAGAATGACATCGGTGCACGTTAAAAAAAATGATTTTACTTACTGTTTCACTGGGCTGCAGAACAGATGCTAAGGGGGAAAAGAGAGAGAGAGAGAAAAACCATTACTGCTTTAGAAGGTTAGAGCTGCTCATTTCATTGTGTAGATACTGTAGGAAACAGTTCTGTAGTAAAAGTGAAATAATTTTATTTAAATCTTTCAAACTGAATAATCAGATCAGCCCAATATGCCTGAATTGAGGCAGAAATCTCTTACATTGTTTTGTGGGAAGCAACAACTGAACCACATTTGAACTCTTCATTAATAGAGCTCCTTGCCCAAATAACTTTTTCAGCATTACAGGGTTACAAAGCCCTCCAAAATATATATATCATTCTTACAGGGTTCATCCTGTTCTCAGTTTGCTCCCAGAGCTGCCAGAAAAAGGAACACATGGCAGCCTTACTATGCTTAGAACAAGCTGCAATGAAGAAAAGCAGCAGTAGCCAGCTCTCAGGAACAGAAGGCAGCGAAACAGTTTGGAGAAAGCAGCAGATACAGGATCATACCAACCTTTCTGCAGACTATGAATTGCTTTTGTGGGCAGCATGCCAAATATTAACCCCCAAAAGTTAAAAACCAAGGCACCTCTAAGAAATTCCTTCCAGGGGGTCATAATTCTCCCTCAGTGAGAAACCATTGTTTCAACTACTTGGGCTTCTTAGGACAAACAAAGGAAAAATTCTGCTCCACATACCGTTGAACCCTCTGCGCTAGTTTGGTGCCCTGCCAAGATTAAAGATGTCACAGCATGGAGGCTCTTGACCCACTTACAAACCCAAAAGCGAGTCCCCTGTTAACTAAATCCACTGAAAGGGACACGTAAGAGCAGCCTGCAGATTTCAATTTGTCCGTTATTGTGACATGCACAGTTTCTTTAACACTAAACCGCTTAGACCCTAGGTATCTATTACTGTACACTTTATATTAAGAGGCATCACATTCACTGGAACTGCAATATATAATTAAGTTACTATGGTTATGTGGAAGATTTCTGATCTCATTTTTGAAGACCTGTTTTTCTTTGCTTGTTTGTCACTCTTATTTAGTGATTTCTGTGTAGACAGTTTGGTTCTGAATTGGCTCCGTTTGTGCCTAATTGGAGGTGAATGGACTACCAAGCTAGTTAGCAAGGTACTGAAACATATACGTTTGCTAAGACAGAAGCAGCTCTCAAATGGTAACCACTGCACATGGGGTTGACAAGGAAAGTGCTGGGGAGGCAGATTCTTTTCAGCTTCTTTTTTTGTCTCTAATGGTACCAAAGTTACTGATCAAATATAACACATTTGTTCCCTAGCTTTGAAAGGCTGGAGTCCAATAACATTCAGATGTGTTACATAAATCTATTGCAGCAGAAGCAACTGAAACAAAAGCCCAGTAGATACCATAACAGCTAAATATTGGGGAAGTTTGCCCCCCTGTGTAGTACTATTGATTTCAATAGAGATACTGCAGGAACAATTTCAACTCATTGCATCTTAGCTATACAATTGAATTTCAGATTTACATTGCTTCCCAACACTGTTGTAAGAGAGGCAGAAGCAGGAAAAAAGAGTCTTGCCATAAGAAACAAACAAACAAACAAACAAAAAAATAGTGATGGGCTCATGCTATAACTGTCAGGTGATTGATTCCTGAGAGTCCCAAGTCACCCTACACACAGGACAGGAAGATGCAGAGGAATGGTGGATTCTACCCCATTTTACTACTGCTACCTCATCTTTGGTAAATCCCATTGCTCTTCTGTGCCTGTTTTGCCTATTTGTAAGAACAAATAATGCAGCAGGGTGTTGAGAGGGTCAGTCAATGTCTGAAAAGTATTTTGAACACAATGGGATGCAAAGTAGTGTTATACAGAATCACAGAAAGTTAGGGTTGGGAGGGACCTCAGGAGGTCACATCTAGTCCAATCCCTGCTCAAAGCAGGACCAGCCCCAACTAGATCATCCCAGCCAAAGTTTTGTCTTGCTGGGACTTAGAAAACCTCCAAGGATGGAGCTTCCACCACCTTTCTGAGTAACCTGTTCCAGTGTTTTACTACCCGCCTAGTGAAAAAAATTCTTCCTAATATCCAACCTAAACTTCCTTACTGCAATTTGAACTCATTGCTCCTTGTTCTGTCATCTGCCACCACTGAGAACAGTCCAGCTCCATCTTCTTTCAAACTGCCCTTCAGGTAGTTGAAGGCTGCTATTAAGTCCCCTTTCAGTCTCCTCTTCTCTAGACTCAATAAGCCCAGTTCCCTCAGTCTTCTCTCATAAGTCATGTCCCCCAGCCCCTTCACCATTTTCATTGCCTTCCACTGGACTCTCTCCAATTTGTCCACATCCTCTCTGTAGTGGGGGGGCCCAAAACTGGACAAGGTACTCCAGATGTGGTCTCACCAGTGCTGAATAGAGGGGAATAATCACTTCCCTTGAGCTGCTGGCAATGCTCCTACTAATGCAGCCCAGGATGCCATTAGCCTTCTTGGCAACAAGGGCACACTGCTGGCACATAATCAGCTTATTGTCCACTGTCACCCCCAGGTCCTTTTATGCAGAGCTGCTGTCCAGCCAGTTAGCCCCCAGTCTGCACCGGTGCATGGGATTGTTCCGTCCTAAGTGCAGGACTTTGCACTTGTCCTTGTTGAACCTCATGAGATTCCTTTTGGCCCAATTATTCCACAACAACACTCGCTGTACAGATAGCATCAGCTAATAAATCCGATCTAGAATGTTTAGTGACATCTAACGTGAAGTGATGGATTGTCAGACCCCTTTGCGAGCTACAGACCATAAAAGAACCAACGTTAACCTGGGACAAGACTGTATTGCTGCACTACAAAAGTATGCACAGCCAGTGGAGTGCAGATAGTATTTATTCATTACATTTTGCTTTGGCTGGACAGCTTACAACAGCTACATAAAAATAATTTAGAATGCCGAACTCTGGAAGTTATGGAAATGGGGTTGGCCTTCGCTAAATTTGCCTGCTAAACTTAAGATGAAACAGGTGATTATTTAGAGAGATTATTTACCTTTGTTTCTTCTGTAGAATATATTTGGAAGTTTATTGGCACGTTTGAGGTAGAAGAATGAAGCCACACACAGAATTAGGAATAAACTGATGAAGAATGTCCCTAAGATGAGCGAAGCTGCCACTTCTGGACCCGCTGTGAAATCAGAGGAAATAGCCTATTATTCACTAGAAATTGCTCACGATACAAGGGGCAAGGCAATTTATTCTCTCATTGCTGTTATGGAAACTATGGAGTAACTCCCTCCTAGGAAAACAACATTATCTTTGTATACCAAAATCTCTCTCATGAAAGCCTTCTTGAAATGGTTAGGAATCATCTTCCAATACTAATTTTACCACACTGCAGCCTGAACCAACAACTAATGCAATTTTGTTTTTCTGAAAACATCCATATACTTTTGTTCCAAATGTTTCTGCTTTTATGCTTTTCGAAACCAGTGTTGGCAGGCACTGAGCAAAAGCATCCAAAATAAAAAAAAGCATTTTAGATAAATTTAAGTTGCTTTATACAGAACTGGCCAAACTACAGACTACTTGTCCACTATACCTGGAAGCAGCCTACATGCGTCTCCTAGGGACACTAATAAAATTTTTCTTCCAAAAGACTTGCTCAATTTGCTTCATTTTTCTTGATTGAAGTCATTATCACATGAATAGGCAACAAATTATTTTAAGCAAAGGAATGCTGAAATTCTTGTTGTGATTAGGACAAAGAAACAACAGATACACCACCTCCAGTGTTTACTAGAAAACAGACTTTTCTGCATAAAGAAACCTCTGTGGCATCGCTCTATTTTCAATTTGTTGCATTCTGAATCAGGGTGAAAGACTGTTTAGTGAGATTTCTAAACTGCAAATATTTTCCAAAAAAATTCTGTATACATGTGACTGCAAATTTTTGGGAACCAGCATTGGAAGGTGCAATGTGTTATGAAGAATTTTCTGTTAACTCTTCATTTTCCTAAGCAGGATAACTCTTCTACACCATTTGGATGCTAACTTTTCATTCCATCCAGGAAGAGCACACACCAACTGCTGAAGCTTCCTTAGCCTGACGAAGGGTTTTTGAACCCGAAAGCTTGCTTAATAACTATTCTCCAACCATTTGGGTTGGTCTAATCAAAGATATCAAATTCACCCAAGGAACCTTGTCTAACTTCTCTATGATACTTTTGTAAAGAAGGCTGGCCTCGATCACACGAAGGACTAAAAGAAATTCAGTACGTGTTTGATACGCATATGAAAACAAACTTGACTGAGAAACCTGGAATCATAATGGACTTCATACAAGTATGATGGCACATCCTATACTGCCTAGTCTCCTGAGCAGACCGCAAGCTAACAACTGGATGTCTTGGGTAGGGTCTGCTTGAGAAGTCCAAAATAATGAAGGTGAAGCGTGTGTGCACTGGCAAAGCTGTCTGGAAGGAGCTTGAGTAACACCTAACTGTATGTGGACCCAGATTAAGAAATTGCAGTTAAATCTTCCAATGCATGAGTACCAACACAAAGTAGTTGTTTTAAAACCAGCCCATGAAGTCACTTGTCTGGGATTCTACCTCCAATGGTGACCCACACTTCAGCAGTCAAATATATCTGCTTGCAATACATGTAAAACCAATGCATGCAAAGTAACCAATCTGAAGTGACTGATGAGCAATCATATGTGGGTTACAATGGCCCCCCAAATTAAAAGTGTCAACCTTTATTCTAGGGCTGTAGTGCCTCAGATTTCATCAGAATTAGTAACATTAAAATTACATACAAAATTCCCCATGAGCCTTGCGGCAGCAAGGTTTAACACTGAACTGGCAAGCAAGCGGCATAATCTATACATCTCTCTAAACTAATCTCTTCATGATTTGCTGCAAAAGGTTAGAGTAACACTACAAGAATTTGACACCTCAAAGTCTTGCTTTTTAACAAAAGTTCTACAAAATACAGAATGAATTAAAGTTAGCTGCAAGCCTTAAGATAAACTTAAGATAGGGGATAAAGCTTCTCACAAAATGTAGCAAACAGAATGATAATGGGGGGAATGGAAAAGACAACATAGAAGGCTGCCCCATTATAAGACATTTCAATTTACGTACCTATATTCGGTAGGATGGGGGTTACAGTGCTTACATTCATTTGGAAATGCATTCCTCTGGTAGGAGCAGCTATGTGAGGGGGGGAAAAAAACATTATTTTAGGAAGCACCAAAACAGTGCATATTCATTAATGATTTTAAGTGACAAACTTCATCATATTTGACACCAGCTAATTACTGAGAAGCTTGAAATCTGTTTTCCCCCCAGGAGATAAATGCTATTTCACAATATCACCTCTGCCACTTCCAGAGAGGGGAAAAAAGAAAGAGGTGTTTGATCACCCTCTTCTGGCAAAGGAGAGAACAATTCATTCCCCAGAACCTTTTGGATCAAGCTTTTTTTTCCCCCTTCCTAGTTTGGCTAAAAGATTTAGAGTCAAATAAAAGCATACCTCAGCGATGAAAGCAAAAGAAGGAGAAATCTAACCTCTTCTGTGAGAGACAGTGCAGCTGAGCTTCCTGAAAGAAGGAGCTATTTGTGCTCAGGAGGGATCCCTAGCACATGCCTACACCAACTGCCTCTTTCTGACAACAGAGGATAAAGCATCCAAGAAATAAAGTGTTCATTATGTTGGTCCATGCAAGTCTTTTCCTTCTTTTAAACATTTTGGTATTTAAGAGTTTGCAAAAAATCACACAATGAGAGTTCTTACTGCCTGTAAAGATCACACATTCTGGCATGTACACAAAATATGTCAAAAAGGAGATTATGATCTTTTGTCTCCTAGATTCTGGCCTGTTGAGCCTTACACGGTTCCACGGCAGCCTTTTATGGTTGATTTTAGGGAGACTGACAGGCTCTGGAGGGAGTTTGAAACCTCCATCCACCTCAGAGACCTTATTTTATCCTTAAGTAGCTTTGGAACAAAGAAAAAAATGTAGAAACCAGAAACCCTCAGCCTCTTCTAGGATAGTCTTGGCTGGATGAAGTGTGTACAAATAGAGAGGCTGGCACACAGGAAACGGGGCGACAGATAACTTACTATTTTTGCAATCACTCAGATTGTAAGCTGATGTAACAGGAGTGGTATCATTCTTGCATTTAATACAGCTGCTACTACCATCCTCGTTCCATCTTCTGTAACAACCTGCATAAGAACAAAAGCGTACACCATGCAGGAAATAAGTGTGTCAGGAACATGCTCCTCTTTTTTTACAATCAAGCATCAGAAAGCATGGGCTTCTGTTCTATAAAACATATGCACCAAAGTGGTCTTGCTTACTATTAGGCTACACAAAACAAAGCCCTTTCATTTCTAAAGCTCCCATTGTAACAAGATGTACCCTTTATACAGGAAACGAAGGACACATAAAAGTTACAAACAAACAAACAAACATAAGAGGTTATTTTAAGACAAACCCATTCACCACTTAGCTTTTTTAAAGTACATTATAATTTCCTCTCTTCAATCATTTCCCCAACCACCCTTAAAGAACTACTACATAGAAAGCCCTGCCCTCCTTTCATTCTCCCTGCACTTTCAGACTCAGACACTGCTAAAGAAAGATTTAATACCAAGAAAAATAATTTAAACTCAGAAAGGAGGAAAAAAAACCCCTTCGTGAATGAACAGATACATGAGACTCAGCACTGTCAGTCAGTCAGTCAGAGAGCAGGCAAATTAATAGCATCAATGTAGCCCATAATACAGATTTTTTTTTTTTTTTTAATGGCCAAGTCTTCTCTACTATTGTGTAATTTGTTTCAGGTCAAAAGGACCACAGCCTGTTTCAACTATTCTGTGACAGATGGTAGATCTTTTATATCAGCCATTCTACCAGATAGGGGTGGAAACTGATTAAGCTTTTGTTGTAGGAAATGTCTTTGGGTTCCAAGTTTCTCAATTTATGTTTCAAGACAAAAAGTTTCTCTCTCTCTGATAAAGAAAGGGGGAAAAACGTTAAAGGCACACCTTCAACACCAACTTTATTTAATAGAATAGAGATGCAATCGTTTCCTTTTTGCCTTGTGTCCTATGACATACAAACCCTGAGATTAGCAGGATATTCCTACTAGATCATATTACACTCCGGATTTTAAAGTTAAAACTCACTGTGCCGGCTAAAATCCAGTCCTCCCGAGCCTTCAGCCAAACTGGGATCAATTATCCCATAAAGCATACCATTAGTAAGGCGCTGATTTGAAAACAGCTCTGCTGTTAGGTTTTCCTCAGAGGGAAGCTGCACGTTTGATGCCCTTAGTAATAAATTACATCTGACATTTAATCTAAACACAAACAGACCCACTGTAAGGGCAAAGCCTTTCTACAGTAATGGGAAGGAAGTGAGAAAGCACTTTATCTGACACCAAAGATTTTGGTAGATTAACATTTTACAATGCAATATAAGAGAACGTGATTCCATAACTTATGGACCACAGATTTGCCACGTTTCGCATCATTTAAGAACAGAAACGGAAGCAGTAATCAAGTAATGTTTAAATAAACTAAGAGCAAAGCACTTAGGTTAGATGCGTTTAATTGGCATTTTAATATCTACTGCAAGGAAAAGACAGACTGCAGGGTCTGTGTCTTAGGTAAAGGGGTGATATGATTTTCAATTCTTTAGTTTTAAAGCAGAGTCAGTAATGTTTGTGCCTGCACATTCTTAAACTGACTTGGTGTCTACAACAGATTAATTTAAAAATTTTAAATTCAGCTTAAACATTAGATCTTCAACTTATTTCATAACGTTATTGGAGAATGACAATAGCAGAGGGAATCAACTAGGGTTTCTTTAAAGGCCTACTGTGACAGAAAGAGAGAATGCAGCATTTCCCTGTAACAAAAAGATAACACCGTTGTATTACAATAGCCAAGTCAGAAGTCTTTCTTCCTGTTCCTTTGGCTGCATGTTGCTGCGTTTTTGTGATACATACCCAACACCGGTACTTATAAATATTAATTTACAACACATTTTGCATCATGTAACTTGTACCAAGTGAGAACCTAAAAACAAGTATGCCAATGGAAAGCAGTGAAAATCTAACTTTTATAAGATACATATGGCACAGTGAGAAGAGAAAAGCATTCCTCAAAATGCTGATATTCAGTATCTCCTCCTTCCTTCTCCAGTTAATTAAATTCTGTTTTGTCACTGGCTACAGAAAAATACTTTGGAATTTCCCTTGAGCAAGGTGACACTACCTGGACTGCACTGGTTGGTGACAGGACAGGTACTGTTGGCATCCAACACATCGATGCAACACTCTGACTGCGACACCTAAAAAGAGAAAAAGAGCATTTTTCCCACGGCTCTTGGCTTTACATAACACGGCTCAAATCTCACGGGGCGCGTCCAGACAAGCATGGTTGTGCACTATGTGGCACCGCAAGCATGTTTTCAGCACCACATACTGCACAGTCCAGCATTCTCTGCACTGCAAGGGCGTGCTGTCCGAGTGTATGCTGCTCCAGGGTTTTTTCCACTTTTTTTTTTTGGATCCCTGGATATCCAGGGGTCAAAAAAGAACAAAAAAAACAAACTGCAGGAAAAAAACCTGGAGCAGCGCATGCCCGGGTAGCACATGCTGCTGAAAAGCAGAGCCGGGATGCCTGGAGCTGTGCTGCAGCTGCCAGCAGGACTGCCGCAGCTGCAGCCCTGGGAGACCCCCGGGACACCAGGTAAGGCTGCTGGGGCCCAGCCTCCCCTACCACCCCTTGGTGTAATTTGCCATGTGCCAAAGCGCACATGGCATGGGCATTCCCGGGGACAAGTAGCAGTAGTGCAAGGTGCACTGCTGCTACTTGTCCCCGGGAAACCAAATGTCCATGCATGTCTGGTTGCGCCTACTCAGTTTATATGAATGGTAAAATACAACAGCAGGTGAGACCTGTGGCAACAGTCAGTTCACCATCACTTTTTGGGATAAACAATACTAAGGGATGCAGAACAGGCTGTTTCATTCTAACATGACACGCTTAACTTGCCCAGGCCAGGTTTTTTGGGAATGAATGTAAAAACACTATACATCAGTGCTGACTTTGGATACAGCTTTCACGAATGGCCCTTAACAGCACTTGCTAAGCCAAAAATCTACAGCTATTACCAAAGATTTTTCTCTTCTTTGGTGAGACCATGGAAAAGAAATCACAGCAAGATTCCATTAATAGATTTTCCCCTAGCCGCTTTCTTTGGGGAGAAGAACAGATCATAGGAGCATTGACAGTGCAACAGATTCTAAAGGACCCTTCATTGCGAGAAGCTGTACTTCCAGAACAGTTCTGGTCCCTGATGGCCCCAGTCACATGTCCTGATGACACAAAAGATCCACTGGAATTGTGTGGCCAGAGACTTCCCCGGGCCACGACTGCTTCAAAAACTTTCCTCACACAGGGGGAACCCCTCTAGAGAATGGGCCCACAATTTACAGTTAAGACAATATATCCTCTACCTTGATTAGCCCAGTCCCCACCCTTTCGCAGAGATGGCAGACTAGCAAAAAGTCCGTTGCAGGATACAGGAACCTGCTGACAAGACAGCAGAGCAAGGCCTCCTCCTGGCACAGATCTGAGGGTCTGTCTTTCTCCCTGCACTCTAAGGCAAGGCAGCCTGTTATTTTGTCTATGCTTCACACTTTTGGGTAGACTCTTAATTTCACAAAGCACATGCAGAAATAGGGATCTTTGCATTGATGCTGTAGTTAAAATAAAAAAAAACAAACATGTAAGACTGTCAGCATCACGGCAAGAACTAAGCTCGTGTGCGACAGCTCACTGAATTAAGCCGCTCTTTTTGACTTGTCTAGATGCACTGACAGTAGGACTCAATTATGAAAAAATAAACTTGCTCTCACTTTTAGGAAGTCTACTATAGAAAAGCACTCATTAGAAAACTTGACATTGGTGTAAACAAGCCAATCTCTATACGGGAAATTTTAAAAATAAGTGTTTTTGCAAGGAAAATGTTACTAGCAAAATAAGTGGAAAAGCCATTCTGTCATTAGATACCCATATTGCAATAAACAATAACATCCTTTTCCATGTTAAAAGCAAAACAGCCCAAAGCTGAACAAGCATCTTCTTTACAGGGCTAAAATGTCCCTGAAGACCATTCTTTCTTATTTAATTATACATGTTTCTTAAAAACCAAAACAAGAAGAAAAATAAAAGACTGGTTTCCAAATGCTTTATAATGTGGGCGATTTGTCTGAGCAGAGGTGGGAGCTGGGAACTCCCTAGCTTTTTCCAGCTCTGCACAGGCTCACTACAGGCACATACCCATCTTTACCACCAGTAAAATAGGAATAAAGCTACAAAACACCCCTGTGAAGTACAAGCCTGCTACCATCTTGTAAGCTTGCTAGGTAGCATTTTGTGCAACACTGAGAATGCTAAGTATGATTAAATGAAATTCTCCTGCAAAAATAGCAAGCTAATTAATTTACAAATCATAAAGACTGAAGTGAAATGGGTAGAAAGTAAAGACTGACTAGTACCCAAGCATGACAGATAACACAGGTGATGAGAAATAAAAATATCAGATAGTGTGTCATTCACTCCTGAGGTAGTTGAGATAATAAAGTTTAATTACAGGGACAAACTTTACCGAGTCAGTAGAACGTGGGAGGCAAGGATATGCTACAGTAAAGAACCAGAAAGACTTATCAATGAGAAAATAGGCTGTTTAGTGCACATAAAGGCTTGTAGGTTGAATTTTCCTGGAGAGAGGTTATAGGTTTCTGTCCATTTGCTATGGAATAAAGCAAGAGGCCGATTCTTGGGCAACTTTTTGAAGTCACTATATTGCAGGCCTTAGTATCTAGCTAAGATACTACCATAAAGTGTGAAAGATGGAAAAGGTTCCTTGGGTGAATTTGATATCTTTTATTAGACCTTGGTCTAATAAAAGATATCAAATTCACCCAAGGAACCTTGTCTGCCTATGTCCTTAGACCAACACGGCTACAACCTAAACCCCTGCAAAGATGGAAAAAGCTTTTAAAATCATGTTTTTCAGTGGGTGTTCTGCTACCAGCTGCCTTTCTTCCAGCCAAAACGTGTGCCTCGGGTGGGTTCAGTACTTTGATAGACAATCTATTCTCAGGGCAAGTTCAATCTCACTGGGTACCTAAGTTAATGGACGGATACAACATCCAATCAAAAATGTTGTTCTGAGGGCTAGTTCTTCACCCCTGTTGGACAGGGTCTGCTCAGTTTAACAAACGGCTTGTTGGCCACAAACTCTGCCTGAGGAAGAACAAAAAGGGTAATGACATTTAGAGCCGCGATCCAGGTGCACCAGTTTTCTTGAAAGCAGCAAACACTCTGTCAGCTACAATGCAAGGGAAAACGCACCTACATCCCTCCTGGTAGAAGATCAGGATATACACAGGGTAAATTTGAACCCTTCCTTCAGGGCAGCATGACTATTCGTGCAGCGCTATGGCATACAATACATACCGAACTTTCGGTGGATTTGCTGGTAACTTCAGCTACGAGTCTAGTTAAGAGAAGGACATATGGCACTGCCATGCCCAGGGATGAGAGATGTCTAAATAAAAGAGGACAAAAATAAAGCAGCATTAAAAGACAAAGAAAGTAGAACCCCTCTTCATCCAAAAGAAACTTCTGCTGAAATGTTATTTAATCAAATATAAAAGCTTTAGATCAAGTGGGTCTGAGGGGAAAGACTTACCTCGGTTAAAGGTACAATTTTGAGACATTCAGGATTCTCATTCCAGCTGCAGAGGGGCAGGTTCTGATTATGGCAGACGTGTGGTTGCTAGGAAACAAGGAGCCTTATCAGTCTGCTCCCAACAGGGCCATGCAGAGACTATTCCACACCCAGGATCTAAAAATCAATGTGATTGCAAAAGGAACAGTTACTGCCTGGCACCGTCACTGATAAAACCTCCCCACAACAACTGACTCTGGCTGCAGCACTGAACTGGGAGGGATTGGGACCAGGAAAGAGAGTGTGCAGCTCTTCAGAAAGGCAATGTCATAGTTATTCTTCCTGCACGCACGGCCCTAAAGCATAAATCAGGATGTGAAGGTGCAATATTACTGAATTGAAGCAGAGGATCAGCTAGGAATGATTTCTGGCAGCAATAATTTAATGAGGTTATTTCCAGGCTATCCATATTTAAAACAGAACGCAGTTTTTCAAGCTATGTACAGTCTCTTTTCCCCACTTTTTATACCAAGCCTCAAAGAACCCTTGTGAAAACCTATTCCGTTCTCCCCATAACATGTTCAAATAACCAAAATGTGTATTCCCCATGCCTTTGTGTTGTTCAGATCCTTTCTATGTCACCATCATGTCATCTAAACACTCTGCAGTCAGTGTAGTGTATGGCAGCCAGACCTATTTTCTCTGAACCGTCTCTGAGCCGCTATGCCTGCAGCTTGGCTGCTTTTAAAATTTCCGCTTTCATATTAGAAGAGGAAAATTGGAAACATGAAAGACATCCTGATTGCGGTTTAATAAGAGGAGAAAGTTAGAAGTGGCTGACTGCAGCCTGAAAGCTCCAGGTGGGCCTTCACATGTCTCGTTTCATAAACCAAAACTTGTATTGAAAAACCTGTTTTATAAAAATCTCCAGTGGGTGACTTTTAAATAACTCACAACACTATTAAATTAGCATGAGTCATGTAAATGTAACCCCTGACCAAGTATAAGAAAGCATAAGGAGTCAATAAACTGTGCTAAACAACTTTGACTTCAGGTAACTCGGAGGAAAACAAAACGTTTATGTATTAACTTTTGTAGACGCGGGCATGTGCATGTGCACATATATACATCCCTTAACTCCAAAAATTGGACTAGTTCAGTTTTGTGGGAAAGAAGCATCCACTTCACATTAGCAGCCTTCGCAATTTGCACCCTCCACCCCAGAGGCTCTTTCGAGCCTAAAGAGTAAGAGCTGAAGGACAGAGAAAGAAATCCTGTTTTACTCCTACATGTGGTCCATTCAATTAGGGCTGAATTAGGCACTTTGGCAGAGCTGTGTGGGAAAAGCTTGCACTGCTTCAATACCTATTACTGTGCTTAATCAAGTGATGTCAAGTCTTTGGTCATGTCAGTCTGACACTTTGCATGATTTCCTCAGCTCAAGTTTAAAATTTGTACACATGAATAAAATGACACTACTGCCAAATGATAAGCAGTCAGTGAGTTCAAGTTCATTATGCCCTTGGCACTAGGTGACATTGATAATTTAAGACTGCAGAAGAAGGCTCAGCACCTGATTAGACTCGCTATTGGTGAGGTAGATTATAGCAATTGAAGGATATAAGTGGTACATTTCTACCATGAATGAAATGGTTCTCCAGAATGAGACACTTACAGAGAATTAATGAGCCTCAGGAGTGACTGGATTAACTCTGCCACACTTGGCTTTCCCATTACAAAATGTTATTGAATATCCTGCACTGGGAAGAGAGAATTTGGGGTCATCTTAACTTAGACAATGGGCTCTTAAGATTTTGGGGGAGAAAGTTCAGAAATAAAAGTGGTTATGAAAGAAAGAGGAAGATTCAGATTTTGAGAAGTAGCTTAAAAGCAGGATGGGAACAAATGTATAACCCATAGTTAGGTTACCAAATTGCTGGTCAACGAGTTATTTAGCAGCTTGTTGGGTGTCAGAGAGCCTTTACTGTAAGTTTTATTCAAAACTGCATTTTCAGCATTCTTCTCAGATAACTGAAGGAGACAGACTGTTTCGAAATTAGAGCATAGGACCTAAATTATAGTTCTGGTTCTCCCAGTTACTTGTGCAAGACACACAGTTGATCCATGCTGCAATTTACATAATTGTAAAACAGGGAACACACACTCCCACTCGCACACACCCACTCTGGCCATAAAAATCTGTGTAGGGTTATCACCATAGAAAGAACAAATTTGCTTTGAGTGTTGTGGGTTCATCTTTGTTTACAGGATAGGACTCCACAAAGATGTGCTTTAAATGTCCTTCTGCTACAATTCAACTACAAATTCAGCAGCTGTACAAAAAAACCAAAGTGAGAAAGGACTGATAGTGTAGATGAGATGCACGTGGTAGTTAAGTAAAATGGCCAAGCCCCTCTAGCAAAATAGTGGATTAATGAAGATTACCTTGCATGAGACCTGTGTAAAGGATAAATGTTGCAGAGTTACACACCTTCATTGAATATATTCTAATTGAAAAAAAAATTTTGGTGTTGTTTACATACCCACACTTTTAAAAGCCAGTGGGCTTGCGATTCATAGTGGAAATGACAAATAGGATTCAAAAACATCAGATTAGAGAGAAAGTTTGTCACGTTACCCAAACACTTATCAAGAACAAACCCCACCCCCGATTCTTTATGGATTTAAAGGAAGCACCCCAACTAGAGTTTTCAGATGACAGTAGACCCGTTTCTGGTTTCTGAACACCTGGCCTATAGTTAGAATAACAGAAAATTAGGGTTGGAAGGGACCTCAGGAGGTCATATCTGGTCCAACCCCCAGCTCAAAACAGGACCATCCCCAACCAGATCATCCCAGTCAAGTTTTCTTCTAGCTGGGTCTTAAAAAACCTCCAAGGATGGAGATTCCACAGCCTCTCTGGATATATTCAGCACAAAGCTACTTACAAAGGGCACACACATCAATGTTCTGTTAGAGCACTTTTGGCCAAATCTTAGCTGCTGTGAATGAGCACAGGGGAACCAACACTATTTTTTATGTTTTTTCAAATCAATCCAGCCCAGGAAGTCAGATCTAAAGCTTTAAATCATTTGGTAACAGTGCATGTATTTTTAACATTTTCTGAGGCTCACAAAATACACCAAGAGAAGTTGCTTTATCTATCAATCATTTTTTACATCTCATCCCCAAAAGACAAAATATTGCTTTTATGTTGAACTAGACCTCCATTGAGAAAATGTCCTTGGTTGCTATAGCCAGGTGAGGATCAATTTTCATTATTTTGGCACTGTGTATGAGCACCCGTCAATACTTCCTTCATTAGTATAATAAAAGTTAAATATTGGGGAGAAGCAGAGGAGAAATCTATTTATTTGAACAGGTATTTTCTTGTCATCTAAAACATATTTATCTTTCAGGAATGAAAAATCGAATTCCTTCTGCAGAAGAAAACGTTCGCCTAACTAGCTACTTTCAGAATGACTGATGCTTATTCCTGTGGGGGACAAATAGCTTTTTGGGATAGGCTCTACATCTCTTATATTTCCATTCCTGAAATACATTAGGCTACTAATCAACATGACCATTGCATTTATGGACAAATACTTGTTCACAGCTGCTGTGGATTGCACTGAACTAGAACATCTGCCCTGCAGCTGTTCCTGCACAAATAGAACATGAGATTATCTGCCTCTGAATTGTCAGTGTGATTTGATCTTCCTTCCCTTCAAAAAAAAAAAAAAAGGCAGTATTTTATTTTGTTTGAACCAATATTTGCCTATAGAAAAATGAGACCAAATACCAATAACTGTTTTTAAGACCAAAGATCATTTGTAATGTTCTATGCCCCTTCTACTTCCAAACTAGAGCTCAAGGCACCAGCTTATTTCTTGTAAACTTTATACTAAGAAAAGTTTTGCAGCACTGGACTTGGGGTTAGAGAAAACCAAAAGTAATTTGAAGGTTGTGCCCTAAGAACATTCAGACAATTGAGTGATACCAGTAACCAGTATAAGGACGTGTAATGTTAATGAAAGGTGTCAGACAGAACAAAAGACTCAAATTTATCATTTGTATAAATTTGTGCATAACATATGCATGTTTCCTAAAGTTTTGCCGCTAGTGTATGGATCTCTCCCGCACTCCTGCTTTAGCATGGTTAGAGAAAGAGCTAATATAGTATATCCTAAAGATCCAGGTCACAATTATAACAGTGGTTTTGTGCTGCAGACACTAATTCACTAGGAAATAAATGAGACCACTTAACTCATTTTGCACAGGCTCCCAGTCATGAAATAGTAACAGCTTTGTTACCATCACCTTAGAAAACACTTTAAGTAGTCATTCTGACTTTAGAAGGAAAGACTGTATGACCCTTAAAAGCCTTCTGTATGGGACACTGCACATAAAATCTCAGTCCAAAGGAGGTAAAATTTTAGAATTTGTAACTTAAACAGGAGGAGGATATAGTTTGGTCAGGATGTGGGGGCGGGAATCACAAAACAATTAGACAAAACAAAAACTCAAAGCCAAGAACACAAACAAAAGAGCTCCATGTTGAATACGCTGTACATTTTTCAGGACTTCCACTTTCAGTTTAAGTTAAGAGCCCCAAAGAAAACTATTTATGGTTTAGACAGTAACATATATTTATAAACAGACATAAAATGAAAACAATGAATATCAAAATGCTAAACACATTCTTAGTCCTGATCTTGAGTACAGTAAAGCGTTGAAAAGTTTCAAGTTTTTACTAAAGCTGTACGTTCCTTGCCCGTACCTGCATTTCCTTTAAAATCAAATGACCAGACAAGCAAAAAAAATTAACCCTTTACTCAAATGAGGGCACGGTGTAGGAAACTAAGAGCTAATTAAAAGATTTCATAGCTAAGAACAATCAACTGTGTTAGCATAGGTGTGCTTTCAGCATCCATTTGGTTTACAAAATTATGAAGAAACAACGTAGGCATATACTCTTATTTTTTTGGCCAGGTCTAAGCCAAAAAGAAAAGAAAGCGGAGAGAAACTTGGTGCATACATTCCAGGTGGCTTTCGTGTCTGGTTATTAGATCCAAATGTGAATTTTTATTACCTTCGCTCTACTGCCAAGTGCACTCTCCGTTCAGAAGTGACACTGAGTCGCTCATCGCTCTCAGGAGATCGCACCGACAAGACGTTTGTCCCCAACTTCATAAGCCAAAGATTTAGAAACACCAAACAACTCTCACTTACCATCTTTTTCAGAGGTCCACACTCAAGTCTGGCATCTTCCTTTTTAATATAGAAGTCAACAGGTCGCTGCCAATTTCTCATCCGCACCGCAAATATTTAGCCAGAAACCTACACGGTATTAGAACAGAAACAAGCATCTGAGCCCAGCGTAGCACAGTCCCTTAAAAATGAACGCTTCGAGGCAGACTTGTTTTTCCAGCTTTCCTTAACCCGCCCGCGAGGCGGCGGGAGTTGGGCCCGCTTCAAGCCATGCTCCCACCACGAGGGGGGCACGGCTGAAACGCGCCCGTCGCCGACGTTACCCCTAAATTCGGTTTAGTTGCTACGACAGGACTCGGCTAAAAGATGTTGCCGTTGGCAAAGTTTTCTTCCCGGAGCATAGTTTTACAAATTGGCTTTTTTTAAAAAAACTTCTAGACACAAAGGTGTTCAACCTGCGGCCCCGGGGGGCCAGGGCCAGGGCGGGGCAGGGCGTGTCAGATTCGCGGTTGTTCGGGGTGGAAGGGGCTCTACGAGATCATCGGGGCCACCCCCCTTGCATTTGGGCAGGAAAGGCTGATGGGGTCAGATGAGGTCACGGCGCTTAATGGACATCGTCAGGCCTCCTTCTAGAGACGGGCTTTTTGGGCCCTTGGGCCCCTTCCTCTGCCCAGCCCATGAGTGTCACTGGAGTTGGGGGGGTGAGGAGGAGGAAGGGCGCAGACGGGGGGTCTCCCCCACCCCCATGAGGCCGAGGGGTCGCCCCCCAGGGCCGG